TGGGAGGTCCTTGGACTCCACACAGGGCAGGGAACCTGGTCTGCTCTTCGGGCTGATGAGAGAGTGGGAGTTGATTGGGAGAGGGATATGGGAGGCGGTGGCGGGGAAGAGACAGAAATCTTTAATAAATAAATAAATTTAAAAAAAAAAGAAAAAAATAAATATTCCTAGGAACCCCTGAAATCGAAAACAGAGTAGCTGCTGTGGTTGAAATGGGGGTTGAGATGTGCTTCTCCCCAACTTCATATCCTTCCCCCCCCTCACAACCCTCGCTTCCTAAGGAGTCCCCCAAAGCATCTTGTAGAATCCGCGGGTTCCCAGTACCACTAAGTAAAAAACAAGTAGGCAAGATCAGTGGCTCCCACAATGTGGTCACAGAGTCAACATGGGCACCCCCTGGGAATGTGACAGAAATGCACATTCTCGAGACCCCTATCCCCTGTCTACTGAGTCTCAAACTCCAGAAATCACTGAGAAGAATTTGGATTGCTATATTCAGTTCAGTGGATAAAAATGATGAACTTCCCAGGATTTTTTTCATGACAAAAAAAAAACCCTGATATCCCAAACTCATAAAATTATCCTGTATAAAAGAGCGCATCCTGACCAAATGCCTCTATAGGAAGTACAAAGACAAATAACACAGACCCACCCTGAACAAAGTTAGGGTTCGTGTCTCTGAGTCACAAGCATGCTGTTTCTTAATCTGAATGCTGTTTACAGGGAGGGGTGTGTTCATTTTTACAGAAATTCATCGAGTTTAAATGATATGTACACGTTGTCTATTTAATACACGTCAGCACAAAAGTTTCTCGATACATGGGCAATCTGCAGGCGGTAGTAACTGAAATGACAAACTACCGTGGGCCCTGGGCTACATATTATCAGAGGCTCCTGAGCCTTCACGTGCCAGCACTGGTTCTAGTGCGGGGGAGGTGTACAGGTGCCACTCTTTCCTGATGGGCAAGAACTTTTGGCTGGCGGCACCCTTTATCAGCACTCACAGAGTCTAGTGAGGCGTTTACCAACGTGACCTGCAGGCCAGAGTCAGCTCCAGTATTTGGCTAGTCCAGCAAAACCGGCAGTAACAGAACTCTGCCACTCCAACCAGATTTAGGCCAAGAAACTGGAGAAAGAATATGTAATGGGTGCTAATGTAAGAGGCCATCCTATGGTCCCTCATTCTCAGCTCTAGGTTCCTGGGGGCCTCAGTTACAAGCAGTCATCTTTTACCTGTGCTCTTCAGTACCCTGATCATAAATATATGCATCAATCAGTTTTTTTTTTTTTTGCAGTTTGTATTGAGTTAAAGAATGAGCGTTCACCAAATCCAGCTGGACTGGGACTGAATGAGCATAGGATCAAAATGAATGTGGCTGACAACTGGGGCCAACTGAGAAGTACAGACTGGGATTTGTCTGTACTGCATGTACTGGCTTTTTGGGATCCTAGTCTATTTGGATGCATACCTTCCTAGGCCTGGATAAGAGGGGGAGGGCCTTGGACTTCCCACAGGGCAGGGTACCCTGCCCCCTCTTAGGACTGCAGGGGAGGAGAGTGAGTAGGGGAGCGGGAGGGGGGGGAGTGGAAATTTTGAATGGTATTATTTATAAAGTAATAAAAATTATTAGAAAAAATTAAAAATGAGTTTTAATTTCACCGGCTTTTACTCCTTTGTGCTCAAACAGAAACACCAGCTCAAGTAAAATAACCCAGTTCTGCCTCATAGTTCAATAGGTCTCAAGCCAGTTTATCTTTCTTATCTGCGAATGTGAATGTCAGAGGCAACGCAGTTTAGCATGCTTCTTCATGCTAGGCCTTGCTGCTGTGTACTCTGTTCATGCAGCCGCTTAAGATGTAATTACCCCTTCTCTCTCCCGTCCATACTACCACTGCCTCTGTGCTCGACATGGAAAAACTGGTGAATATGCCTGACTGTTACGTCCTGATTCCCTTGGCAACCTCAGTTGTGAAGATGCCTGGTCATGCGCCCGACATTCTCATGCCTGAATCTCAGTTTGGACTCCAGGTCAATACGTACCTGCAGAAGAGGCGGTGTTCTGGGTCTCCTGGTGGCATGATTTAAAAGCATGCCCAGCTACCATCAGATTCCATGACTCCGTTTGGGGGTAGGTAATGAGCAGCGGCATGAGACTAGGTTTTGTGCTGGGACAAGTTGCCCTGTTCCTGAAGAATGAGGTGTTTAGTGTAGTTTTGTTTTGAGATACGGATATGAGGTTCAGCCAGAAGTAGCAGCCGTAGATGCTTTGGTGGTCTGTGCCTTCCACCCACAGGAACAAGGAGGTCAGCTTCACTGGTATCCCGTCAGTGAGCTCCTCTTACAACTATTCCTGCATGCAGGACATTTACATGACAGCCTCTGTATGCAAAAAACTCAAAATGAGGAATGCTCTATTAAAGAATGGGACTGTCAGCAGACAAAGCAGGGCTGTGGAAATGCTCCCGATTGAAGGGGAGAGACGAAAGACACTTGACAAACATAACCCTTTTCCCTAGACCAGATCCTATAACAGGAGAAATGCTAGAAAGGGGGGCATTTGCTGGTCAAGGGAGAAACTCGGCTTAGAAATGATAAATTAAACACTGTAATAATGTTCATTTTTCTAAAGCTCCACTGTGGTAGTGTATGGAGCATGTCTCTTCTTAGGAAACGCCCATTGAAGTGCTTCAGTACAAAAGGCCCTGACGTATGTACTTTATCCATATTGAGTTCATGTACAGATGTGCACACACACAAACACAGGTGTGCCCGTATGGGATGATAAAGCAAATGGAGCAAAAAATGTTAATAGGTAAATCTGGGTAGAGAGTAAAAAATGTTCTTGTTACTTTTTGTGAGTTAGAATTTGTTTCCAAATAAAACATTTGTAAATGCTAAAGGACAATTTCTGTGCACGCAGTCAAAACTCTGCTGGCACGTCTGACTGAATTTCCCCATGGCAGACATGAGGAATGGGGACATAGCTGTGTCTTCCTAAACCGGGTTACCAAACCCAGGCCCAAATAACTTAGGAAGTGTCACCCGGAGCTACCCACTTATTTATCTCCCCCATCCTCCAAAACACCCAATGTAACAGCAAAGCATTTCTTCTGAGGATTGTGGTGCTGAAAACATTTGGGTAATGAAAAGAAGGAGTGTGTTTGTTCCATCCATCCATCCATCCATCCATCCATCCATCCATCAATCCACCCAGTAAATGTTTTAAGTACCTGCTCATTATGTGCCAGAAACTGTGCCAGGTGTTAGATCCTGTCTTTAAAAGCTCTCATGGAGGGACTTGGAGGGGGGTGTAGCACAGTGACAGAGTGCTTGACTAGCATACACAGGGCCCTCGGTTCAATCACTAGCATCGAAATAAACAACCAAAACCTATGAGCTCACTGGAGTAAACCCACAACTACAAAAGTCTCTATTTCCCAATGAGTTTGCTACAAAGTAGGACTGGAAAGCCTTTGGGAACCCTGCTGTTTATTGGAGACACTGGATCCACTGCCCACGCACCTGGTCCACACCGAGCTGCCTCCAAGGCCTTTCCAGGCAACAGTTACTTTTTGTAGTCAGTGCTGAAGAAAGGATGAGTTGTGCTTTCCCCATCCCAAGGTCTTCCCATCTGTCTCAGCTTAACTCTCTGCAGGCTGCTCTGTCCAGTGTAGCAAGCCTTTCTACCAGCATCTCTGAAGTAAGTTTTGGAAGTCTTTCTTCTAATCTCTTGGTAAATATCAAAGCTATACTCACAATGCTTTCTGAAGGGGGGGCACCAAACACCACTGTGTGGATGTGTTATACCATCCCCAGAATCCCACCACTGTATTGCTGATTCATTGAAGTAATGTCATTGTCTTTCGAATGGACAAAACGTGATAATTTTTTTGCCCCCAACCACCAATTTGAGGTGTGACACTGACTACGATGCCCTACACACAATGGAGTCTGCTGCCGTGGGAGAGACCGCGAGGATTGTTCATGTGTATGACTGCGTGTGACCTGGTGTGTCATTTCTGTTCGTGGCATTCACCTCTGACGCCTCCGATGAATTATGGCCCAGTCCAAAAAAGTTTCAGATTCAGATCCAACAAATGTTTACTGAGTCCCTACAAAGTTCCAAGCCTTTTACTTTGACTTTGACACAGTTTATAGCATTTAATCTTTAACAACAACGCTTTAAGGTAGGAATTACCTGCATGTAACAGATGAGAAAACAATCGCAAAGAAGTTCACTGATTTGCTCAAGTATATCATACAGCTTTAAAAAAAACAACAACACACACACACTACACTGTCAGCTGAGGCCTGTCCTTGTTAAATGCTTACCTTACAGCATTTCTAGCCTTCTCTACTGTTGGAGCACCTGCTCCCCTTCTACAAGCCCCCTTATTTTTCTCTTTTCACTAGCCCACGTGGGCTATCTTTTTTAATACTGCATTTAATAGCACAAAAATCACAAATACAAAGAAACTGGCAAAGGTGTTTGTCAATGAGCTGTCCCTGCCTCCTTCACTGTCCTGCTTTCAGCCCCATGTACACAATGGGCTACATTTTAATAAACTTGTCCTTTTCCTCCCACAAACATGTAACTGTTATGTGATTGGTCAATTGAAGCTGAAACACCCATGGAGAAAGATGTTTTACGGTTACAAGGGCACACACCCCCCCAACACCACCCCCCTCCCCCCCTACACCTTCCCACACAATCTTTTGGAGGAATATAGGATATGAGCCAGTGTCACAATTTCCCTGCTCTACCTTCTCCACCCAGAACATTCCTGCCTTTCATTTCTTTCACATGACTGTTTAGACTAGTGCCTCTTCTCCCTCCTCTCCTATTTCTCTTCCAATCAGGACCTTTTGGACACTGGGTACTGTTAAATTCTTACTCTGTCAGGCCCATCGGCCTCAGTCAAGTAGATCAATTAAATCTCGATGCCCGCTGTAGTACGAGTGTTGTCATCTTCCATTACAGGTAGGCCTGCGTGATGCTTTAGTAAGCTTGTGTATTCATTTCTTTCACCTTTTCTGACTCGAGTTCCAGGACCTGTTTGTGATAGAACAGTAAATAGCCTTCACTGTCCAGCACATCTTTAATACTGGCCTTGGTGATGACGGCATCATCACACTTGAACCACTGGTCCCTGTGGTGCCGAATGAAGCTGGTGTAGTGGCCGCTCTCCAAGGTTCCCTGGTGATTAACCACAGCAAACAAGGAATACTTATTCTCCTTGTTCCCACTATTAGTTGGCAGCTGCAACTGTCCATTCATTTGGGTTTCTTTACTTGACGCCATAAATGGTGTCATATCCAGCTCCAGAGGAAAGGAAATGTATGTAGTGATCTTGCGCCTCTGTTTGGCTGAGTGCTCAAATCGTTTGAAATGAAAGCAGGCAACAACTGGCAACTTCTTCATAGTGAGCTGTTTGGTAGATTCTTGGTAGCTTTGGCAACTACCACATTTGATTTTGGCACTGCTTCCTAAGTGCTCTGGCCTTGTAAACCTTCGCAAGCAGTCCGTGAGGGTACTAATGCCTGGTATGTGGCTTTCCCCATTCACGCTGCTCTCCCTCCCTGGACTCATAGGCCAGAAGGATGTGCAAGAGCCAGGCAAGTCCAGACTGATGTCCCAGCATGGGTCTATAGTGGTGGAGACACCATGGCAGGCTTGACAGGTGACATCTGACTGCAGGCCACCTGTGAAGATTTGGTCTATGATGCAGTTACAGTGGTTGAGATTGCTGGCCACTTTGCCAACATCATCGCCCTTGCAGTGCCTGTGCAGAACATCTAGGGCAGCGATGAGGAACTCGTGGGCATCCTGCTGCCTGTACCCTGCTAAATGACGAGCGTGTATCCACACCAGGTGCAGTAACTTATAGGGAATGTGAGGAGATGGGTTCCCAGAATACAGCTCCCGAAAGATCGAAGACATCTCACAGACCAGACATAACTCTGGACTGGGCATTTCACACCGGTGCCTGTCAGAGAGAAAGAAATCTCTCAGTATTGGAGTGTGGGTCAGGGCCTGAACAATACAGTTCATAAAACATGTGTTGCCAAGATTAATCAGTCCTCGTAGGCCGATGGTAAAGCTTGAGGCGATTCTTCTTCTTCGGGGGTTGTGTCCCAGCAGTTCGAACTCAGGCCTGGTCATTTCCCAGGTGGGATATTTCTCACCAAGGCCCAGCACTGAACACTGCTGCTGAGAAACCTCTGTCGAGGCAGAGGCTTGTAATTTCAAGGCTTCTCTTTGCTCTTCTTTGGCAATTTGCTCAATGTCTTTGTCATACACATAGTCTTTACACATGAAGCAGTATATACCTCCATAATAAAGATCTACCGCTAAGTTGTGCTGTTTTGTCTCAGCGTGCTCATGGATGTGTTTCTCTGTGAAGCAGCCAAAGAAGATACAGGAAAGGCAAGAGTGGAGTCTGTTTAAATGGGTGCCACACACATGGCAGATGCACGACTTTGCCTTGCTTTTCCTGGTCTCTGGGGTTCCACACCACACGAAGCACTGGTAGATAACCCGCAATTCCTGCCTCCAGTTCTCTCCCACCTTAAAGCTGTTCACGTGGGAACAACCTGGTGGCCCCACGGTAAAATCCACATCCAGGCACCCGCCCCCAGGACCGCGCCGGGGCCGGGACCGGGGCGGGGGCCGTGGCCTAGGCTGCGGCGGGGTACGGAGCCTAGTCTGGGGCCGGGGCCGGGGTCGGCGGCGTGGGGCACGACTGCGGCGTGGAGAGGGATCGGGGACCCGCGGCGGATCGGAGGGAAGGGTGGGGGGAGGAACCTCGTCGCCGCTGCCGCCACCGCCGCTCTGCGCTGGGATCTCATCCTTCGGCTCCTGCTCGGGCTCCCCCTTAGGCTGCTGCTCTGCCTCCTGTAAGGGCACGGGCTCGGGCTCAGGTTTCAGCTCCGGCTCTGGTTAGGGCTTGGGCTCCTGCTCGGGCTCCTGCTCGGGCTCCGGCTTGGGCTCGGGCTCCCGCTCCAGCCCGAGCTCAGCCCCAGGGCCCGAGTCCTCCGCGGTCTCCACCTTCCTGGTGGCGTCCACCTTCCCTGCGGTCTCCACCTTCTCGGTGGTGTCCACCTTCCCAGCCGCCTCCACCTTCCCCTCCACCTTCTCCACGTCCACCTTCCTCTATGCCTTCTCTGCCATCTCTGCCGTCTCCGCCTCCTCCAGGCTCCTCCGCCTCCACGGGCTGCGGCTCCTCCCCCTGCTCGTGGGGCTCCGGCGGCCACTGGGCGTGGTGGCACGGGGGCCACGCAGACCTGGGGTGTCTCCCGTTCGGCCTGTGGGAGCGCGGTGGCTCTGGCAGCTGGACCCAAGAGGGACTTTCACTGAAGGAGGCAGCAGCGGAAGCAGGCGACGCCCCCGGGAATGCTCCAGCCGAAGCCCCCTAGCGGAGGCCGCTTCTGCAGCCAGGCCCCGTTTCCTTTAATTCAATATTTCCCAAACTTGCTTGTTCACGACCATCACGTGGGGGAGCGTGTTAAAATTACAGATTCCTCAGCTCCACCCGCAGGCCTACTGAATCAGAGTCTGGAAGGGAGGCACTCCGGAACCCCGATCTCTAACTAGAGCCGGAGAGGCTGCTAGTGCTCAGGCAAGTTTGGGAAACACAGCTCTAATTCATTGAGGCTGGCGGGAAGTGGGGCGGGGACCGCGCAGTCTCTTTAAGGCGGTTCCAGCTCTCAGCTCCAATCGCTGCTCTGACCCCCTTGGCCGTCTCCTCCCCTCTCATACTGCCCTCAAGGGTGCAATCTTCCCCTAGCGTGTGGGGCCCGGGGGCGATAATGTTGTCTTGCCCAGAAACGTTTCTGAGGCCGTGAAATATCCCTTCACAGGGTGGTCGTGAAGAATAAAGGCAGAAGCTTTGACATCTATCAGCTGAACCTGCCCAAAGAATGCCCCAAGTCTCCCCTCGGGGTCCAGCTCTTGCCCTCCCAGAACCGTTGAAACCTCAACTCCACTATGGACAGGCCTGGACCTCAGGTCTAGGGGGACCATGGCACTCCCAAGGCCGCTCCACTTGAAGTGGCTGGCTCCCTTGACTATCACAACAGTGATCTAAACTTCCTGGGCTGACACCTTGCCCCCACCTCAGCCTCCAAAGGCCCTGGGAGGGATGATTGACTGCTGGCCCCAGACACTGCCCTCACTGAGTAGCCTGCGGGCAGAAACCTCCACTCCAAAGTCAGCAGGGAAACCAGAGGCTACAAGGCCACCCCTACAGGTGGCACCTCCCCTAGGCTAAAGGGGCCCAAACTACAAAGTCTGGGATCCTTACGGTTTAGCAGAGTCTGGGGTGAACAGCAGGTAGAAATTGAAGGGCTATCTGTGGAGTTGCCACGTGTCCGGGGTGGGGACTGCTGTATGGAGCCCAGGAATCTAGAGCGAGCCCCTCAGGTCTTGGGCAGATCTGGGGGTGCCAGATGCAACTGCTGCTTCCAGAGGGTGTAGCCAAAGGCAGGTATCAGCATGTGGGGGTCAAAGGCAGAGAGTGATCTAAGAGTGGGATGTGTCAGTGTGGTAGCCACCTGTTCCTGGGCACATTGCCCTACTTTAGGGGTCTGTGCTGCCTGCAATGTACAACGAAGTGTTGCTGATCTCCCCTGGAAATCAACCTTCACCTGAGTCGCTTCATAGAGGAAGCAAAGTCAGACTCCTTGGGGATTAATCAGGAACCTGGAGCGCTGGGGAGGCTGTCTGGTTCCCATCTAGCCCAAGGCTGCCTTGTGCTAGCCTTTCCTAAGTCAGCTGTGTTTCCTGGTCCTTAATCATTATTCCAACAAATGCCTGCCCTTTGTTGCCTGTAACTACAGGAAATGCAACCGTGCGACTGCTTAAGGAATGCTGTGGAGGCGGCTGCTGCAAATGACAGCTCACCGAGCACAAATGGGAGCAGGGGACAAGGAGTACCTTCATCCTATATTCACAGGCTAACAACGGACAAAGAAGCCTGAAGATCTCCATACTTGGGAATGTTGCCCTTGAACAATAGCTCTGTGACCCGATTGCCTGACTAGTCAACTTCCTGTAAAGCACACAGACGCACCTGGACACCACCCAGGCCAGCAAGTTCGGAGAGTGGATGGCTCCGCCACCATTCACCCCACAGATGTTCATTCAGTGCCTATTCACAGCCAGGTATTGTGCTAAAAGCTGGAGACCCAGCACTGAGCCAAAGACACCCCAGGGTTAGAATCAGATTTGGCTTCCCTAAAAGGAATACACACTCTGAGGAAGTGTCTTTAGGACAGCTAGCAGGAAAGAAGCACCAAATATGAATCATTAAATAAATAAATAAATACATACATATACCAAAAGCTAGCTGAGTACCTTTTATTTTAAAAAATGCCCCCTATTGGAAAATGTACAACTTGGTTGTTACTTTCTTACATCCATTTCCTCATTGTACTCTGCTTTTGCTTTAATCACCGGTCGCGGGAGCTACCATAGCCTTTAGATGTATGGAGCTTGTGTAATAGGCAGTGAGACCTGGGCAGATGTCCCCGTCTCTGTCTCACAAAGACCTGGGAAACAGTGACCACAGAAGACCTCAAGAAAGACAGCTCTTCCTCTCTCACAGATCAAGCCCGTAGGAGTTAAATACTGTTCTGACCACAAGGTGGCAAAACACTAAATGACAATTCCTAGTAATTTTTCTGTTTATATAAAACGCTCTCTAAAAATATTTTGGAAAACATGGTCTCTTTCACACAGTTTTTGGTTGACATCTAAAATTTTGCATCGTAAATGTCACTTGGCTGCAAAAAAAACCATAATTTCTGAGAAGTGTTAACCTTCCGAAATAAAACTGTTACGTCAGTGCATTACACAAATCTGGGGAAACCTAAATACGTTAGTGAGCCGAGAGCCACTGTCAGCTGCTTTAAAAGCTCACAATAGAGTTCTTTGACAGTTGCCTCTGGTACCTCCTTCCTTTTCTCCGGAAGTTCTTATTCTACTGTATTCTTCCAACAATTTTTTTGACCCAATAACATATAATTTTGCGCTTAAAGCAAGTTGCTATTTCTATGGACTATTGTTGCTTATTGCTCAAGTGAGACCGGACTAAGAAAATAGCCTTCCTAATCTGTTTGGCTAAATGTTAACGCAGAGAAACCTCTCATATACGAAATGGGAAGAGACATTTTCTTTTAGAAGCATCATTCAAGCCTCTGCATCCTTTTGAAAATATCGCACAATGGCCTAGCTTCAAAACTCTTTCTTGTGATTTATCAGCTGAAGACTCCACTGGGATTTCCTTCAATTTTATTGGAAGCAAACAGTTAGCAACCATCTGAGGCTCGAAAAGATTCGATTCGCATGCACTGTTAGAGCGATTTATTTGTTCACCGTAGATGTGGTGTTTGGAATTGTCTCTCTGGCACCCTGAGGATTTCACACTGCAGGGTAGTGCATGTGGGTGACACTCAGGATGGTAAAAGACGATTTTCTTTTCTAAGTGCAAAAAGAAACATGTGAACCTGGAGATGGGAAAAAGAGAAGCAGCTTGGTTCCTCTATCACAACTCTGTTCTCTGGCAGATCAATCTTTTTTTTTTTTTTTTTTTTTTGGTTTTTCGAGACAGGGTTTCTCTGGTTTTGGAGCCTGTCCTGGAACTAGCTCTTGTAGACCAGGCTGGTCTCGAACTCACAGAGATCCGCCTGCCTCTGCCTCCCGAGTGCTGGGATTAAAGGCGTGCGCCACCACCGCCCGGCCTGGCAGATCAATCTTAAAACACTACATATGAAATTGGAGGATGTAAAAATTGATTCCCTTTCGTTTTCCACACTCCTGGGCAAGGCACACTCCATTTTGAAAGTCATTCATTTATATTTCTTATAATAAAAGTTACATATATATGTATATATCCTTAAATATCACCTTATTTTGTGAGTTTTTTTTTTAAAAATGTATTGAAGGGGCGTGGCGTGAAAATTGAAAGCCCCTCTCTCCCTTAACAACCGCACTCAATTCCATTTCCCTGAAATTTGTGAGAAAGTTTCTATGCAAACATAAGCATTTTTATACATATATCCTTTTATGAAATGTAAATGAGACTATGTCTATACAGATGTTTTTTCTAAATTTTCTGTGCACATCCAATGAAACCCCAATAAAATTACAGTGATTTTTTTATGAGAGACTTTACAAGACAACCTTTACGTTAATATGGAAGGCCAAAAGACATCTTCCCCCTTCTCCTTTCTTCTTCCTGAAAATGAGGATTTAGTGGCCATAGTAGACCATCTTGTAACCAAACACAGTGGAAAGACCAAAACTCTGACTGCTTCTGGGTGTATTCTTTCCTGAAGAAGAGTATTGTAATTTATCAACCCTAAGAGGCACGGATCTCTTTATGTTAAAAAATTGCCGGAGCCTTTGAATTTTACTTTATGAACATGTTCAGCAGCACTTTGGTTTTTTTTTCTTTTTTTTGCTGCAGGTACATAAAATACTGACATGTCTCACAGTCAATAGATTCACAGGCTGAAGAGAAGAGGGTTCAGCAGTTCAAACACTGGAATCTGTTCTAAAGGATCTGAGTTAAATTTCCAGGACCCACTGGGCAGTTTACAACCATCTGTATGTAACTTCTGTTCCAGGGGGATCTGATGCCCTCTCTGGCCTCCGCAGGCAACTGCAACACACATGGTGCAGGCAAAACATACAAAACATAAACACACATAAAATAAATTTAAAACGAATAGTATCCTAGAATTGATGTCATCCTTTGAAGTCATTTTTATTTGGGTCCAAATTATGTGTTAAGTGACCAGAGGCATTCTAAGTCTCTCTTAGTCTAGTCTCTGGTCCTTATTCTGGCCCTGTCAACTCTCTTTTTGGTTGCTTAGACTTTTCTACCCATCAGCTTGGCCTTGCATCAGATAGATGATACACACTACTGCTTCCAGGCCTAAGCCCTTGTTTCTTCTGGTTGGAAATCTGTTCCCTTAGAAATTCTCAAGGCTTGAACCAGTTACAATGGCTCCCTGAGTAAAAGTGCTTTCCACCAAACCTGACAACCTAAGTTCAATCCCCAAGACCCACACGATGGAAAGAGAGAACCATTCCCCCAAGCTGTCCTGTGTCTTCCACATTGTACACGGACATATGCACATGCACAAATAGATTAATAAATAGATGTAACTATTTTTAATATAAAAAGAAAATATTATGTTTTCTCCCTTACTTGCTTCAGTTCCCTGCTTAAATATCCTTAAATGTCACCTTATCTCAGAGTCCTTTCTTGACCACTCTGTAAAATAGTATCTTGTCCCTGCTTTATTTCCTTTATAATACCATCACCACATGATGTATTAAATAACACTCTATGGATATATTAAATATTATACATGCATACATATTCACTTAATTAATCTAGCTTCATGAATATAAATTACTCATTCATCTGGTCTCAATATCTACTTTGGACTTTAGTGTAGTTAAATATTTCTGGAATGCAAAACTGAATTTTTATCGTAAGTGAACTCCTCTGTATTTTCCTATTTCTGTTGGCTGTTTTGTTTTACCTTGTCTTGTGAATTGCTTAGTCACATCCTTTGCCTCATTTTCTTGTAAATTCCTTTTGTTGTTGCTACTGTTGTTGTTTTGTCATACACTTTTATACCCCAATACAAAAGGGGGACAAAGGCAACAAAAGACTTCTTTAACATGATACAAAGGACAGGACAATGGCAATGGGTTTTTGATCCTACTGCACGTACTGGCTTTGGGGGAGCCTAGGCAGTTTGGATGCTCACCTTATGAGACCTGGATAGAGGTGGGCAGTCCTTGGGCTTCCCACAGGTCAGGGAACCCTGATTGCTCTTCGAGCAGATGAGGGAGGGGGACTTGATCGGGGGGAGGGGGAGGGAAATGGGAAGCGGTTGTGGGGACGAGGCAGAAATCCTTAATAAATAAATAAATTAAAAAAAAAATAAAAACACGGTTTATAAAGAATAAAAAAAATAAAGTAGTGACATTATGATTCATAGTTTTTGCACAATAATTGCAATCTACCATTTACAGTGACAAACACAGTTAACGGTATGCCAACTACTGTTTTATAAGTCATTTACTATGTTATTTGACTTTATAACACACTGATGATCTAAGTACTAATATTATTGTGTTATTCTCACAATAAAGGAGTAAAGCATAAAAATATTTAAAAATCTGGTGATGTAGCTCAGTGGTAGTTTTTAACATCCATATAATAGTCTGGCTTTAGTTTCCCACCATGTAAACATTCTTTATGAATTAAATACCTTGAATTTGCTTGTGTTTATTTTCTAGATTCTATGCTTCTTCCCATTCTTAATACATCTAATTTCAATAATGAGATGGTTGATTCACACTTTTTCTGTGCCCTTGGTTTCTTGATATGGGATTTGTCTCTGTATGCTATGACTATCATTGGTTAATAAAGAAGCTGTTTGGGGCCTGTGATAGGGTAGAATAGAGCTAGGCAGAGAAAACTAAACTGAATACTAGGAAAAAGAAGGCAGAGTCAATGAGAAGTTATGTAGCCCCAATGGAGACAGACAACCAAACTTTACCCGGTAAGCCACAGCCTCGTGGCGATACACAGACTAATGGAAATGTGTTAATTTAAGATATGAGTTACCCAGAAATACGCTTAAGTTATTGGCAAAACAGTATTGCAAATAATGTGGTTTCTGTGTTATTATTTTGGTTCTGGGCAGCCAGAAACGAAAAAGCAGTTCCTTACAACAGTTTCTCACCAGTGTCTGGCAAGTATACTATAAGCTAAAGAAAAATAAAATAGCAAATTCACCCACAAAACAACCTCCAAGTCTAAGAGTTGAGCTCTACCCAGCCCATTTGGACCATATCAAATTTCTCTAAGCTCAGAACTAGCTAGTCTATGGGCACAGTTGACTAAAAGCAGCAGCTTCTGCTTCCCCTTCCCTTTACCTAGAGTCTAGGGAACTGGAAATCATGGTTATCTGTCTCCACCATATGACTGCAGAGAACATCAGTGAGTCTGAAGTTATCAGAAAGATAGAAAGTGGAGGGACCGAAGACTTCCTTTTAGCACACATCTATCTGGCTCTGAGTAGTTTGTATGTATGCAATTCCTATAGCCTTCTCTG